AGAGAGAGAGAGGCGCAATATTCAGCATCTTGCTCAGGAGCATGGCATTCACTGCATGTATGATTCAGACAATTCATGTTTAAGCGGAACAAACTGTTGAGTATCATCCCGTTGTATTTTTTTCATAGTACAATAATCTTTAAGAGATTTCAACTTTAGATGGCAACCATGTTGCTTTTACTGAAAGCTGGATGGGGAACCCCAGAGAGAGAGAGAGAGTTTGCTTTACTTTGGAGATACCAATTTGCTTTTGCTGGGATAGGGTACCCTTGGGGTTTACTTTTTAAAAAAACTATATTCCTGAATTTTTTCATATGGCCAGCATTTTCAACGGGATGGTGATATTTTCAAAGAATTTATCGCGGAGTTATGTTTTGAAAGTATCTATGTTTCTCTTCGTGCATTTCATTTCAGTAGCCGCAAAGCCAAAGGCATGGGCTTAGGCCAATTGAATCATATTAATAGCATTATATGCATGGGTTCATGAAAATATGTGGAGCTCTATGCTGGCTGCGTAACCTAACACAACTGTTATTTATTCGAGCTCGAGACTTATGGCCCTAGATAGAATAGAATAGCAGTGTTTGCTTTAAATGGTTAAGATAAAGCTTGGATGATGATGATATGCATTTATTTTAATTGTTGGGCTCTTAGGCTTTAATAAGGTTTAAACATGCATAAGGTGGACCTCATGGTAAGCATAGAACCCATCTTAATGGTGAATGGAGTTGTTGCCATTCCAGCCGTTCTTGTTGCGATGATGATGTTTGCCTAGATGAAGCACTTTGGTTACATGCAGTGAGCGTATTGGCTAAGTCGTATAGGTCAGTTTCATTGAGTAAAGGATTTACGGTGACAAGCAGAGGCACCAGTTAAGTCATTTTGGACGGTCCGACTAAGAAAAGGATTCATGGTGACAAGCCGAATTCATGTAAACAATGCGGGGGGCCTTCCTCCAATCTAAATAGTGGGCAATAACCAATCTATGCTTCATACCCTTTGAAGTAAAATAGGTGAAATTGCGGATTACATGAGGTAAGTGATTCATTCATCATCGAAGCTTTTTTTCACTAATTATGGTTGGTTATATGAATACTAGTCCGCTATGATGCTTTATTAAGAGAGCTTGTAAGTGGTCCATCCAAACACATTAAATTTGTAAAAAAAATACTTGATATGAATGCTCCATAGCCATACTTGGGATTTTACGAGACATGCGAACAGTCAACTCACAATAGGGAAGACATTGGATGGTTGCAATGCATCATAAATATGTAGGGTTCTAAATATGAATCACGTAATAAACAATTCAATCAACAATTTTCGGCATTCTAGGTGTTACCAAATAAGAAATTCCTAGCATTAGTTTTCCCAGATAGTCCACCGAACACTGTTCTCAGTCTTCATGTTATCACTTTTTTCCCCTGTTTTCCACAACTATTAGTTTCCCAGAAATTCCAAGGTAACTGCGACTCTAGGTGTTCAACAGCGCATAAAGAATCTAAAACTTTAGTAGTGTTAAGGGGCCCATGAGCAATGAACAAAAGGATATACGATCCCAAGGTTTTAAAAAACGGATCAGTGACCTGAATTGTCCACGAGGAAAACTTGATCGGATTGGTTGGAATCAACTTTAAAATAAATTAAAAAAGATAACTAAAAATCCTTAAATATGGTATTGTTTTGAGTTTTTTAAAAAATAGATGATAAGTATTTTATTATTTTACAAAAATACACGAATATTGATATGGCATTTCCCTGTTTGAATGTCTGTTAACTATTACATTCACATAACTGGAAAAAAGATCTTACCATCATCATGGTGTTCATGCTTCGGTAGGGAATGCGGCCCCTGCCTTGGTGTTTGGGTGCAAACTCGTTAGAGATGGGGTTGGTAGGGGATGGGTCTCATCAAATTATAATGGCGATAAATAGACCACAAGACCCTCCCTAGCTCGACTTGCCGGCAAAGCCGGCCCGTAGCTCTGTTGAATTGGAAGTCCAGAATAAAGTGTTGAAATCGGGGTCAAAAGAGGGGGAGATATTGTGAAATAGTTTTAAAAATAAAAACTAGAAATACACCAAAAGGGAAATGAGTGGGGTGTACCCGAAGCTGGGCCCCTAGGCACGGCACCCGGAGTCAGTGCCAGTTGAGGACGAGTTCAGATGCACCACTTTTCACTGAGTCTTTCAAGTTTTGTCGAGCACGGTGAGTGCGAGTTGATGAGGTTAAGGGGGTCTGGATGTGCGAGTACTAGGAATATAGGTGTGTGGGGTTGAGTTTTAGCTTAGTAGTATGAGGTTGGAACAGGTTTAGCAGGGTCTTGGTTTGGTCTGACGAAGCCTGGGCGTCAGATTCAAAATTCCATTTTTTTTGAAAGTGAGGGAGGCGGGGGGGGCATTTATAAACAAGCATCATTTTTAATCATCGTCAAAAGCTAGGAGCAAATATGGGATGTTAATGGCCATCACTACCACTAGCCTCTTCAACACTAATAAGATAGTCGGAGGGCCGAGGCAACTCTGTCTGCTCCTCCCTACCAACTGGTCTGCCTCACGTATTTGGAGCCATCCTCAATCGAGAAAGCATGTGCGATGATGGCTTGCGCCACTGCCTCGCCTGAGAGCCACAGTACCGCAGCTGATGCTCCTTCCTTGGATGACGAGGAGGACAACGCTTGGAACTTGGTGTAGCATGTAATCATCCCTTTTCAGGGAATGAAGTTCTCTCGAACATCATTTTGCTGAGGTGTTTCATGTTTATATTTTCTATCAAGGCTTTTAATTTTTTTAAATAATTGAAGCCATTTGATGTATTTTCAGCATGTAAACCCACATTTTTTTTAAATCATCAATAAAAGTAACAAAATATGCAGCATCCCTATAGAAACAACATGTGATTCCCATGTAACCAAATTAATCAATTCCAAAAAATACAATTTGTTCTATTTTTACAAATAAGCATGACTCACAAACATCTAAATTTAAATAATTTAAATTAAGGAGAAGGTCTGTATCGAGAAATACATTGAATTCACGCTCGATCATGTGACCCAAACGTGCATGCCATGTCATGGCAGAGTCAAATCATTTCTACCAACACCTTGGCACCTATTTCAACCCATACAACGATTTCTTGAGATAAGAGAGAGAAAAATAGTACATAAAAACCAAGGTTTGAGAAAAATAAAAACCTAGATTTGGGAAAAATAAGGGAACGAAAAAAGAGTGTAAAAAAATAAAAGAAACAAGACACAAAGATTTATGTCGTTCGACAAGTTGCCTATATCTACAGACAACAAAGTTCTCTTCCACTAATAAAAAAAACGCAATGTAAGCATGGATAATATAAATGATTACAAGATCTCTCTCAAGCTCTAAAACATGGTATTTTTCTCCCTATATAACACCCACCTAAAGGACTAAAGAGCTAACCCTTTTCTTTGTTTTCTTTATACACGTTTCCATATATTTTCTCTCTCTACAAAGACTTCTTTTATTAACATATAAACACCCCATATACCAATCACGTGAGCCCATACTTTTTCTTATCTTTTAGTAGTGAGAAATATGACATATATTCACGTCCCTTCCTGTGGCTGCATGGATTCCAATCCCGTAAAAATAGGACTTCCCAAAAGTAGGTCCACATCAAATATATCAAGTTCCATAATAATAGGGAACTAGGATTAATGAAGATCTTTTTCACACTATTCATAAGGTCATGTTTGGTTACCTTTTTAATAGTATCTTGTTATTAAGGTTAACACGTGGGTGCAATGCTTGGATTCAAGAAGGGGCATATAGTTTGACAGCACATGGGTGCAATGCATTTGGTGCACTAAGTCCCATGGAGGTAATCTAAGGCAAATTGCTAATGTTTGGCTTCCAATGGTTTATGTCTCCTGTGCACTTGTGAAAATATTTGTAATGGGTGAGATTGCATTTGAATATAATTGTATGAGAAAGTGTTCGATGTAATCATATAAAAAATTGTATGAGGCTGAATTTTTACACAATGCAAATTGTCTTATGCATCGCAATGGCTGTGTCCAAATGAATGGAAATGATGTTGGTGATGTCATGAGGTGTTTTGATCCATTATTTTTACTTTTATTGGGTTGAAAAAGGGATGTTTTAGTATGAGTTTGTTCTACTTTTGAAGAAAAGTCTGTAATATATAGTAGTCTCATCGTAAAATTTGAAATAAGTTGTATTCTAAGCAACCCGTATCGACACCTAACCGTTTTCACGTCAAAGTTATCTAGATAAAGGCAATGATCGACACTTGGAAATGGAAAAATATTTGAAAGTAGGGTGCGATTTGTATAGAGCCGAGGCCAATACAAGTAAAGCGTGACAAAGTGTTAAGAAATGTGGTTTCAATACTGGAAATCTTTGTGATAGTTTAAAATATATTTATTTTTAATTATAAAATTTTAAGCTTCAAAAATAGGGTAGATCGAGTAGATCTATAAAAATTTGAAAATGTTGAACTTGTTTTTTTGAGTAGATCAGTGGGAATACTGCTCCTACCTACTTTTACAAATAATTAACGGTTTTCGGAAAAAAAAAAAGGTTGATAATTGACGGTCTAAAAATGCATTACAAGATGCACTATTTCCAAAACTTTAAATCCATTTTTTCTCATGTTCATGTGTCTTGATGTTGAGATTATCAATTTGAGGTATCAAAAGAACTTCTTTTGTGAAATTTTTGAGGTGACTCTAATTTGATTGTTTAGAGCCTTGGCTTTATATAAACTCTTTCCTTGAAGGTATCCGATTCAATGTAGCATTATATAATTGGAAAAATATTATTAAAATCATCAAACCACCGCAAGAAATGTACAAGGTGGTTAAATCAATACATATAAAATGATTCTTTTAAAAGAATTCATTTCATTTAGGCACTTCTTCAATAATTTTGATAAAAGTAAACAAATTGCCCTTCTTTTGGGTTTGCAAGCCATTTTGGCAATTTGATTCGCTTAAATCACTTGTGGCAAATGACCCATATTCTCCTAATTTTTATGGGCTCCAAATCCGAAACTTATTTTTAATTAAAAATATTGTTTTGATTTCGAATCCAAAACAGGAGTGGGTATTTTGTGTAATTTGGTCCCACTTTAAATCACATGTGCCAAAAGGCAAAGATGCCCCTGCTTTTTTCAAGTTCCATACCCAGAAGAAGAACTTCTAATGAAAAATATGTCATGCATTTGGAGCCTGGCAAATGCAGGGGTATATTTGAGTAACTTAATAACTAATTTATCAAAATGCATTCACTTTGAGGAGAGAACTAAGTGAAAACATTTGAAATGACCACTTTTTTGCTTGTTTAGTTGATTTAACCACAGTGGTTGGACCATATTTTGATGTTTTCAATATGAATTTTGTTTACTTTGGATGATTTCTTGAATATCCAAGTTGGACTCCTAGGATGAGCATTTTCCATGAACTAATTTTAGGGTGCTCCCAAAATTCACTTGACCATGTGCCAATTTGTTTTGCCCTTTTAGATTTGAACTAATGTGGTTGTAGAAAAAGTGGCTCATCACACTAGTAGAGCAAACTTGGGTTAGAATCTAACTGAAGGAATGAAGAGCATTTCTGATGTCAAAAAAGCTGTAATTTTTGAAGGAGAAAATAAAGATTTCGGGGGTGATGTCCGAGGAAGAGGTTTAACCTCTCACAAGAAATGTGGTGCTTTCGACCTCAAAGAACAAAGTCTTTATTGCTGGAGGAAGAGAGTGAGGAGTGTAGGCAAAAGCTTCATCTGAGGTTTGTCTCGAGCTTGTTGAGATCTATTGACATCAAAGAGCGAGGATCAAGCGGCACCGTAGGTCACCCCAATACGAGGAACTTCCATCATTATGCTCTAGCAAGGGTCGTACCCTCATAAGTCTCTATATATTTTCTTATTGCTTTCAACCATGTTGAGCCTACCATTTGTCTTTTTTTAGCCTTCCATTTGAAGTAACTCGTACCTCCTAACATATGTTGTATAGAGGCTACACTGTATATGGTCAGCCCTCCTAAGTTTACTTTCTCTCATCTTATTCTTCCAAATATATTCATTTCCAATTCTATCAATTCTTATCTTGTCATTCATCCATGTCAACATCCTATTTTACTTATACTTATCATGTAGGTATGTTATTTTTTGACCGTTCAACATTCCGCCCTATAAAGCAAAGGTAGTCAGCAGCTCTCTTTTTAACACGAGGTTCTTCTATTACATAGCAAAACCGGACACAGGTCAAACAACGTACAAAAGCCTCACTATCCTTGGAAGTGCAGCCTGATGACCTTGTAGAAATGAAAAGCATCATCCTACAACATGCTTTTTAAGTCCAAAAGTGAGGCCTGTTATTTATGTCGGCTGACCTCTTTCTCGAAGAAATATCGGCTCGGTGACCTCGCAAAGCCCTCTAAAGATAAGGCTGGAGAAGCCCTTCCTTGACGACGAAATCAAAGAAGCAAATATTTGGGTTGGGTTGGGTAAGGAACGTGACAGTTTAGCTAACCTTTTTTCAACAGCTTTCAGGAATCAGTATATGGTGTGTGATGATGTGGAGGAATTCCAAATCAGGGGAAAAACAGAGAATTATTGCCTCATGCATGGATAGATCCTTGGCAATGCCTTGGTGGCACTTGAATGTGTACAAACTAAGGCGATGAGTAGAGTAGATTATCTCTAAACTTGGGCTCGAAAAGGTTTGTGATGGGGTCCAGTGGAACTATCTACTTGACATCATGGCACTCATTGGGTTTGAGGAAAGGTCGACATGCTTGGTTAGGGTTGCCTTTAATCTGCACACTTTAGGGGAAGTACAATGTCATTTTCGAGCTTTTAGGGGGTTGAGACATGATGACCTGCAATCCCCATTCCTTTTCATAATTGTGGTGGAGTCGATGAGTAGGAATGTTGAGGCACTCCATGAAAAGAGACTAAGATCAAGAGCTCCAAAGTGGTCATGAAGTGTTGCATCTATAATTCCCTAGTGATATACACAAGGAAGAGTATACAATGTGACCATTTATCTTTGCTATAAGGTGGTCACAATTAATCTTGATAATCGGATGTGAAATTAAGAGGCTGTATTTTTTCCATTGACTAAGCTCAAAGTTCAAATAAAAATTTCTCTATTTTTGTGACACACGCAAGTAATTAGATTTCACATGAGAGGGTTATGAGTAATTGCAACCTCTTTGCGCCAAAGATAAACGGTATACAAACCACCATATCATAATTACAAAATGTATTATTTTTATTGGTTGAGATTCTTTTTTTTTCTTCATATCCATAAATCTTGAGTTGGAGATGATAAAATTGGAGGATTTTCAACATTAGAACACCCTCTTCTAGATTTTATTTTAAGTGCCCCGTACTTCATTGGTACGAGGTTTACACCTTAAATAAAACGTCTCCATCTTGTATTCCGCTCTCATCTTGCGAACCATTTTCATCCACGAGAGCTGTATGGCTTCGCAAAAGCAGACCAAACCGGTTATAACAGGAAAAGATGTGGTGGTTTAAAATGTCATGTGGCGGAGCGATCATGGAAGGGGACGCCTCCTCTACCGCCACCTCCTCCTCCTCCTCCTCCACCTCCATGGAGCCCCAGGTATATCCCTTTCCCTTTTTCCATTTCTTTTATTTATTACTTTGCGCCATTCATTCTCTCTCCCCCTCTCACAGATGATGACCACACATTCCCAACATTTTTTTGGCGGACCATCCCGACCAGACGCTCTCTCTGTCACTATAATCCAGGTATTCTTCTCTCTCCTTAACCTCTTCGCGTTTTTCTCGTTTATACTCTGAACTTTGGCTTCCATTTTTATACTTTCCTGTTCAGGACCTAGCGATTTAGAATAGTGTGAGCGGAGCTTCTCCTTTAGTTTTATTTTCTATTTGAAGTTTCGTTACTGCTAGTCCTCAGTATCTCATTTCTTGGAATTTCTTTGTTTTCTGGTCATCACACAAATGGCAGCAGTAGCCTCATAGGCTTTTCTGGTTTGATTATGAAATACTGC